TAATAAACAAGTACAGAAAGATACCAAGATCAATATACAAAAATCAATGCACTTTCAGTACATCAGTAATGAACAATACTAAAATAAAATTTAAAAAACAATTTCATGTAAAATAAAAATAAAATACTTAGGAATAAATGTAACACAAGAAGTGTAAGACTTTCACAGTAAAAACTATAGCACCATTGAAAGTAATGTAAAATGACCTAAATAAAAAGAAAAAGCATACATGTTCATGATTGAAAGATTTAATATTAAGAGGACAATATTCCCCAAGTTGATCCATTGATTCAACATAATCCCTGTCAAAATCCCAGCTGCCTTTTTTTGCATAAATCACCAAGCTTATTCTAAGATTAAGGGACCCAGAATAGCCAAGGGACCCAGAATAGCCAAAACAATTTGAGAAAGAACAAAGTTGAAAGACTCACACATCTCAATTTCAAAATTTACTACAAATCTATAGTAGGCAGTAAGGTATATTACTGGCATAAGGATAGAAATATAGATCAAAGGAATAGAATTAAGAGTCTATAAATAAACTCTTACACTTATGGGCAAATGACTTTTGTCAAGACAATTTAATGGGAAAAGATTAGTCTTTCCAACAAATGTTGTTGGGACAACTGGATTATCCACATGAAAAAAAGTGGCATTGATCCCCTACCTCATACCATATGCAAAAATTAATTCAAAATGAATCAAAGACCTGATAGTAAGAGCTAAAACTATAAAACATATTTTAGAAGAAAATGTTGATGTAAGTCTTCTTGATCGTGGATTAGGAAATGATGTTTTAGATATGACACCAAAAGACATGCAATATAAGAAAAATAGATATATTGGACTTCACCAAAATTAAAAACTTTTGTGCTTCAGAGGACAACAAGAAAGTAAGAAGGCAACCCACAAAATGAAAGAAAAAATTTCAAATCATATATCTGATAAAGAACTAGTATCCAGAATATATAAAGAACTCTTACACTTCAACAACAAAAAGATAACCCAATTTTAAAATGGGCAAAGATGGGAATAGACGTTTCTCCAAAGAAGATATACAAATGGCAAATAATCATATGTAAAGATGCTCAACATTACTTATTAGAGAAATACAAATCAAGACCATAACAAATTACCACTCCTCTTCCACTAGTATATATATAATCAACAAGATGGACAATAACAAATGCAAGCAGGAATATAGAAAAATTTGAACCTTCAAACATTGCTGGCGGGGGTGTAAAATGATAAGTGTTTTAGAAAACAGTTTTGCTCTTCTTCAAAAATTTCAACCTAGTGTTACCGTATGACTTAGCAAGTCTAGGTCTACCATATAACCTACCAAGAATATGCCTGAAAATTGAAAATATGCTTTCACACAAAAACTTGTACATAAATGTTTATAGCTGCATTATTCATAATAACCAAAAGGTGGACATAGCTCAAGTGCCTATCAACTAATGAATAGATAAACAAAAGTGGTATATCCATACAATGGAATATTTTTCAGCCATAAAAAAAAAGAAGTACTGGTATGTTCTTGAAACCATGATACAAAGTGAAGGAAGACAGACATACAAGGCTACATATTGTATAATTCCATTTATATGAGATGTTCAGAGTAGGCAAATTCATGAAGATGGAAGGTAGATTAGTGGTTGCAAGGAGTTAGAGAAGAGGGGGAAGTGGAAAGTGACTGATAATGGGTGTGGGGCTTCTTTTGGGAGTGGTAAAAAAGTTCTAGAATTAGATAATAATATTTTCCTAATTTTGTGAATATACCAAAACCACTGAATTGTACTATATAAAAGTGTGAATTTAATAATATGAGAATTGTATCTCAATAATTTTTTAAAGCAGGCGTTGGTCTCATGTCTAGTGCATCAGTGCTCTTTCCCCATGTGGCTGACTTGGATTTCCCCCAGCATGGTGGTCTCAGGGTAGGCACATTTCTTACATGTGGCTGGCTTCCAAGTGGGAGAAAGCAGAAGTCAGTAGCCTCATTAAGGCCTGATCTTGGAAACTCTAGACAATCACTTCTGACACATTCTATTGGTCAAAGAAAGTCTCAGAGCCATCACAGTCTCAAGGTGGGGGAAAGGGATAGACCCCATATCTTGATGAAAAGAGTGGCAAACTCTCTTTGCAAAAGTCATATCGGATGGGTGATATTGTTGTGGTTATTTTTGGAAACAGTCTACCAAAAGGGGCATCATCATCCTGTGTTCACAAGATCATCTTTATCATATGCTTCTATGACACCATGATACTGTGGGCATTCTCCTGGGAGAGTGAGCCTTGGCTCACTAGAATGAAAAGATGGTGAGGTTATCTCTCATGCGGGTAATGGAAAAGACTTAATGGGGGATGTGGCTTTATACCGAGGCCTTGAAAGGTGAGTAAGATTTGAACAAATGGATGGGGTGGGGTGAGGTGGGGTGGGATTGAAGGCCAGTTTTCTCTAGAGGAGAAAACATTGTGAGCCAGGGCAAAAGGAAGAGAAGTATACAGAGTGTAGGAGGAAATAGAAGCAGGGTTTTTTTCATTTGTTTGTTTTTACTAGACTGTTAATATTTGCTGGGTAAGTGCTGGAAATAAAGTTGGCTGGGTGTCTGAGGTTTGAACTGTGAATGTCTTGAATGCCAGGACAAGGAATTGGGAAGTCAGAAGACTCTGGAGCAAAGAGAAGGTGTCATTTGAACTCTGTAGATGAAAAATTCTTTGGGCAGTAGTTTAGAATGGATTGAAAGGGAAAAGGTTAAAGGCAAGTGGATCAATTGGAATGGGAATGTGAGAGTTAAAGGTAGCTAGAACTAAGGTGGTGCTCATGGGAGGAACACAGAGGTGCATTGTATGGGATGAGACTACAGAAGTAAAATATAGAGAACTTGATGACTCATTGAATGTGGGACCCAGAACCAATGAAGTAGTCAAGAATGACCCCTAGGCTTCCAGTCTGACTGAGTGGTAAAATGGTTTTATTTATAGATATTGGGGTGATGGAGAAGGAACAAACTTAGAAAGGAAAATGGGGAGGGTGTTCTTTGACCATGTACATTAGAGGGGACATCTTATGTGAGATGCTCTTCTGGACCCTGACTCTTCTACTAGATTGTGAACTCTCCAGGGGGAGAGAGTTCACAGAGTTCACAGTGCATTGAAATATGGGTCTGAGGTTTGGATATCAGGCCTTGATACAGCCTTGGGTATCATCCACGAAGAGATGACAACACTGAATTGAGGAGAGATCATGTAGAGAGAATACGGTTGAGGAAAGAATCTTTGTAAGCCCTTGTGTTTTGGTGGAAATGGTGAATAACTGTGGCAGAAGAAGACCCAGAAGAAAGAAGTGTCATGGAAACCTAAGGATAGACAGAGCTCTCATCCATCTAGGACTCATGACTTTGAGGTGAGATTTTTGCAGGCATCTACACCCACCCCCCAGTATATGGCTGCTGTCATTTCCTCTAACAGGATTCTCTAACATCTTGTTGTTATAGGATTTTAAAAGCACCCCCATTCCTAACACTAGGTTTTCCATCTACAACCTTGAGTTCTAATTTTGGCCATTGTGCTCTATGCTCAATCTTTCCCTACTCTATTACAACTTATATCACTTCTTTATATTACCTGTGGATGTTTTCCCTCTGCAGCCTTATGGTGCTCTACACAAGGTGGTTATTCTGCAAATGTTTGTGTAAGTCCAATGTTGTCAACCAGCAGGCACTGGCTTTGTTCAGCTTGTGCAGTGTTGTTCTGGAAAAAGTTTGTAAAAAATTTGAATTAAGTGCCAAGATTTAAAACTATATACTTCTCTGATAGGATTTTTGGCTTCTCTTGAAAAATAGGATGGTCTAGTAACACTGGACCCACAGTCCCATATGGTAACAGTTGGATGGAACTAAATAGCAGCTTCTGCCTGTAGATGGGCTGGGATCTCGGCTTCCCACAGTCTACACATGTGTCCTTTCCATGAGAATGAGTATCAGTTGCTGTTATTAACTCACTTGCTCTATTTGTTTTTCTTATAGAAGTGTTAAGAGGAAAGTGAAAATTTCTTACCTGCACATTTTTATCCAGGATGGGAAAACCAAAGCTAGACTGAGAAGGCCATGTGTATGCTTTTACGAAAAAATGCTTATATCTGAACTCAGTTTATTTATTGATTTATTTAATATTTATCAATTTGGTTTGTGCAGACACTGTTCTACATGCCGGGGACAAAAAGGTGAGCAGGATAGACAAAGAAGCTCAGGGAGTTTACATTCCATTTCCTGGCTGGGCCCTGTAGCCATTGTGATTGTGACTCTTGGTTTATATGAATGAGGAATGAAGAAATTAAGGTGTAAACCTGCAGAAGTGAAGGGGATAAAACTGAGAAGAGGCCAGTAGATTATCTGATTGGGAATACTACTAGAATTTAGTAGGGGTAGGGAGTAAATGGATGGTGAAGACGTGGATATTCGGAGTATTCTGAATTTTAAAAGTTTGGTAGATAGATGGGAGAGTAACACAATGGTGTAGCAAGGCTGGAAGAAGTTTTGTCTGTTTGTTTTACAGTAAGGGAAATTGTGTGCACATTCATAAATCCAGATAAAGGGACCATTGAAGAGGGAGAGATTGAAGATTTAAAAGGAGGATTAACACTGTAAACTGCAAAAATAATTGTAGAATGGGATACAAAACAGCAAGCAAATATTACAGTACATTCTTGAAGACTGGTAACTGACTCAACAAATAGGAAGAAGCTAGGACCTAAGGCTGGGGAATACTGGTTACAGTACATTCTTGAAGACTGGTAACTGACTCAACAAATAGGAAGAAGCTAGGACCTAAGTGTTGCAGGCTGGGGAGTACTGATGAGAAGTGGGCCAGTTTTTGCACAGGATTCCGAGACTCATCATTAGGAGGAACCAGGCTGTGCAGAAGCCAGTGAGTTGGGTCTGTGTGTGTGTGTACACGTGTGTGTGTGTGTGTGTGTGTGTGTGTGTGTGGTGAGCATGCGGCCCCCAGGTTACCGCCTTCTTCCTCATTCAATCAAACAGTAAGTGGGAGGCTTATTATCTAGAGAAATTGAGCCAGAGAGCCTCCACACTGGGGTAAACAGGTTAACAGGGACAGGAATGAGGTATGGCACCATAAACAGGGGGCTAACATAAAATTCTATAGTAAACTGTGGGATTCTAACATACCTGCCCTGCTTCCAGAATGTACACGGCCACGTGAATTTCATTTAACAAGTGGGAAATAGAGTGATTCTTCTTTTAATAAACAGAATATCTCTAGAGAAATAATTGCCATTTATTACTATTTGAAGCACCCTCAATGAGATCTACCAGCTGATCATGCTATACAGTGAAGCTTGCTCATGGACCTACTGTGCCAGCACACATAATGTTTGCCATCAGGATTTCAGTGCTTCATTCTTACATATGAATGAACTACCAAAATTCACCAGAAATTAGAGGATAGCTTCCAACATGGGAGAGAGAGGCCTAACTGTCAAACAGGGAAAACTAACCTGGATTAAGTAGAGATATTTGAGGATTCAAAGAAAAACATTGAAAAGGCCATTTAATTAATAAAGTCAAACGGATTTAGGAAATTTTGAGAAAGAGAACAAAAGAGAATCTTGGAAATTAAAAAATATGTAACAAAAATTGGCGTTGAATATAAGGATTGGAAAATAAATCAGAGAAGTATCCCTAGAAAGAAGAATAAATTTATAAGGAGATGAAAAAATATGAAAGGGTAAGAACATTAGATAGTCAACATAGGAGTTAAACAATTATCTCAAAATAAAAAAGGAGTTCCTGAAAAAGTGGATATGAGGAAATGATATGGAGAAAATAATTTTTAAAAATTACACAAAAATATTTTCTCACTAATGCACAGCCCATTTTGATAGATGTGGTCAATACAGTAAATGGAGGAATAATACCCAGGATAATAGCATTGTCAAATTCCAGAACACTTGATATAACGTTCAGATCCTAAAATCTTCAGGGTGGAGAGGAGGCAGTAAATTGGACACAAGGTGGAGCCATAAGTTATTATGGCATGTGGTGGGGGGAACTGTGGTAGGGGTCAAGGTTTCCTTTAAAACTAGTTTTGCTACCATTAACTAGTTCAAATTTTCCACTTGAAAGTTTGTCTTTTGTTGTCACAACCTAACCCCTACATGTGCCCACCTTTCAGTTTTATAGGGTTTTGTTTTGTTTTAAAATAAGCAACCTTATTTAAACCAATAAGGTAATTTTCATTAGTAAAATTTAGTTTGATACTGGTGACTTTCCAGAGAGAATTCCGTTTTAGACACTTTATTTTGATGGAATTGATTAAAACAAATTATTTTCTTATCACTTGCTTATTTAAGAAGGGATATAAAAATGTATATGCAATAAGCTTGGCTGCCTCTCTTCTTAATAAATCCTCAAGGAAGAAGATAAAACTAGAGTTTACACATGCACGCGTGCACGTGTAGATGGTCCCCAACTTAAAGATGGTTCAAATTACGATTTTTCAACTTTACGATGGTGAAAAAGCAATATTCAGTAGAAGCCATACTTTGAGTATCCTTCAACCATTCTGTTTTTCACCATCAGTACTATATTTAATAAATTACGAGATGTCCAACCTTTTATTATAAAATAGGCTTTGTATTAGGTGATTTTGCCCTATTGTTAGCTAATATACATGTTCCAAACATGTTTAAGGTAGGCTAGACTAAGCTATGATGTTCTGTAGGTTAGATGTATTAAATGCATTTTTGACATATGATATTTTCAATTTACAATGAATTTATCAGGATATAACCCCAGAGTAAGTCGAGGAGCATCTGTACATACATACGCATGTGTGTGTTTGTGCATATGTGTATTCCTTTTAATCAGGTAAATAATTAAGTAAATAACTTTAGGCAAGCACAGCTTTTTCATATTTTTTCCTGATTTCTCTACCACATGTGATTTGTCTCTAACACAAAGAGTAAAAAGAAAATTTCAGTATTCTCCATGACAATTTGGTTATCAGTTTCAGTAGAGCTAAGTGTGATGTTTGAAGCTAGTAGTTGCCATCTCAAGGTATGGTATTTTATTTATATATAACAACTTCTAGCAATGTTTGTCCTTAAGAGGATTCTTACCTACCATTTCTCATGATTTTTTTAAAAAAGAAAAGCAAGATTCCTGCCTTGAAGAGTTTTCACATACAATGTGAATAAATTTAAACGTCAACTTGGAGAAACATATTTCTCCATGTTTTCCAATGAAAGTTAAATTTCAGACATTTTCATTATGATTTTTTTCCCTGAGTTTCTTCATGGAATCAGTGAGACAAGTATTTTGAAACGAGATTGGAGTAGAAGGATATTTGGACTCTTTTGGCTTCTTTACACTACCCAGAGAGAATTTTTTTAAAAATTTTCTGTAGGAATAAAAAATAAAGCTAAAATTGACTTGTTATATTTAGGATCAGTCTTAAATTGACACTAGGAAATTAGTACTAGGTATCCATTTGCAAGAGTTTAATATGATAAAACTTCTTTGGAAAATATACATTTACTCATTATTGCTGTTCTTTGAAATTTTCTGTACCTCTGTCTATCAATAAAATCAAGTAGTACTATTTATTTCCTTGATAAATCTTTGCTGTTTGTCAGACTGCAGCGAGTTCTGAGATTTTCTCTGTTGGAACATCTTGTTGAATAAGGAGATATCACAACATTACTGTAGTTTATCCACTCATTTTATACACCCCAAGCTTTAACAACACCATACCAGAAGATTTTCAAAAGGGAGAGAATAAGATTGAAAATTACATAGGTGATATAGGCACCATATTTCTATTAGGTAAACTACTATAAAAGTGCGTAATAAATTATAAATGCATTGAGAAAAAAATACGACTAAGATATTGTATTACATGGAACTTTATACCTAGATTTTCTTTCCTTGCCATCTTCTGTTTTCCCACAATAGTCCTTTGTTTTCTCCCACAGTAAGGTATTTCCCAGAGGCCTTCCTGAGGAGTACTCTGTAGCAGCTACGTTTCGTGTGCGACGAAGCACCAAAAAAGAACGGTGGTTTCTGTGGCAGGTTTTAAACCAGCAGAATATGCCACAGGTAAGGAACCATGAGAGTTCTGCTTATTAATTTTCCCTCGTGTGATTAGGGTGAGTCTTTGAACTTTGTGCACAAACTGGAGAGCAGACCTAGTATGCAAATATTCTCTCTTTTAGAGGAATCATCAACAGGGAAATGCAAGTGTTCTCCTAGTTAGGATGATCTTGCTGAGACCTGTAATATGAGAGTCTGCTGGGTGAGAAAGGGTTAGTTTTTGTTTGTTTATTAACTTCTAGATTAATATTTGGTCTAAATACACTCGAACTGCCCTTCATTAGTTACTGCTTTGTTGACTAACTCCACCTCATAAATAATTCCTTCACCTCCTATCACTTCTGACATTATATATTATTTTTAAAATGATTCATTGTTTTATCTGACAATCCTTGGTGAATTAAGAGGTGAAACTTAGACATATATTCCATCAACAAAAAATTTACACATGCTATATGCTAGGTAATGACAAGGATAAGAGAGTTGAAAAACAGAATTGCTATTTTCAGGAAGTGTAAAGTTTAAGGGGATGACATTTAGGAAAACAACATAATACAGCATAATTACAATACAGTGGGCCAAATGCAATGGTGGAGGGAAGCTTGGCATGGGTGGGGACTATGCAAGCATAGAAAGAACAGCTCATCAACATTGGGGGACAGGGAGAGTAGGATCTAGGAAAGCTTGTGAAAGAGATGGCATGTGGGCTGAAAAGAAGGGGTTCAGGTACTCCAGGGAGGAAACATGCCCCTCAGAATTACTTCTTGGTGCCAAATATTTTTATTTACTTCTTTCATATCCACTTAAATGTTTTTAATTTTCAGTGGTCTTTTAATCTGTTAATACAGTCACAATTTTATGATGAGAAGATGAATTCAACGGAAAGAGTATGTGATCTATAAAACACATTTTCTCTGCATCATACAAATTATCAAAGCTTAAAGAAGTTGATCTCAGTTTCCATGCTAAAGGAAATAATCATATTCTTCTTCTTAAATTAGTAACCTTGAATTATTAAATTACTCATACAGAACAATAATTTATATATGAATTTATAGTTTTATATCATATAAAATTATATAATTTATAATTATAAATTATCAAATTACATAAATTCTATAAAATATAAAATTATATATGCATATATTGTATTATGTATGTATGCATGCATACATACATGTATACACACACATACACTTTTAGATGTTCTCTCAAGAAGGAGCATATTACATTCACCTGAATACACATATCCAAACCATTTTTGTAGCTGGTATTTGCTGTTCTTTTATGGTAACAAACCTGGTGGACACAGGTGTCATCTAAAACATTTTACTAAGTGCTTCAGTTATACTAACATGCACCACGAACTTTTCTTTGTATGCTTTAATAATTTTGAACATTGATTTTTAAAATATTTGAAGATCATTTGCATTTTTGCAGGTTTCTTTAGTAGTTGATGGTGAGAAGAAGGTGGTGGAATTTATGTTCCAAGCTGCGGAGGGAGACGTGTTGAACTACATTTTTAAAAATCGAGAACTCCGGTCTTTGTTTGATCGTCAGTGGCATAAACTTGGCATTGGTATACAATCCCGAGTCATTTCACTTTATGTGGATTGTAATTTAATTGCAAGCCGACAGACTGATGAAAAGGACACTGTGGATTTTCATGGAAGGACCGTTATTGCCACACGAGCTTCAGATGGCAAGCCTGTGGACGTAAGTTCTAATGTTGTTGTAAAGGAGAACTGGTAACATTTCTAAGTTAAATCAAAATATCTTATTAAAAAGTCTTCCTTTAATTTCTGTGTAGTAGATTCCCTTTTCATCAATTTAATTTGCCATCAGATGTGTGAAGTATAGCTATGTATTTCCAACTATATTTTCACATATATTATCTTCTCTCTATTTTCACCCATTTTCTCCAGCCTGTGAATTAAAAGAATTAGGGCATGCCTTAAAAATAAGATTATTCAAAGGAAATTTCAGTAAAAATTGAAAATATGATACAAAACCTAAGCTTCGTCTAAGCTCTTATGTTTTAAATAGAAAGGACTGGAAAAAGATGAACTTTAAATTAAACGGTCCCAGATTATCTGGTGTTTTCATTTAAGAACAATAGGCTACTTTTTTATCCTTGTAATAGCAATTGCATTGTATTGCAGACTATTTTTCATAAGCTTATAATGGGTTTTCAAGGTTCTATTGGACAGAAACTCAGTCACTGAACATATCAGTAGGTTGTTTGGATGAGAAAAATTGGCTAGTAAAACCCTTTCAGATGAAAAAGTTCTTTAAAAATTAAATTTGAAGCTAAAGATGATATAGATTTTGATTTCTCTAGAGAGGAAGGCCTATACTCTCTAAAAAGTGAGTTATATCTAAATTTGATGGCTGCACATTTTCTTGTGGATAGAATGATAGGAAAACCCATAAAAACAATCTGAATGCAGATCACCAATAGGAAATAATGATGACGTTAACACAAAGCAGTTAATAGTTCAAATTTATTTCAAAAGTGCAACTTTGTGCAAACACATATTTGGCCACTTATTATTTCTAAAGGCCCATGTGAAATATATATCTATATTTAATTATCTTCTCTTAGTGACAGTGATTGAGCAAACCAGTGAGAATGTCATAACTAAGGCTCGCTGATGACCAGCAGAATAGGGAAGTGCAGAAGAAACCAGCCCTGGAGACAGGACATCATGGCATCATAGAGAGACAGATGTCGTTTTAAATCCTAGCATGACTGCTTAATTGTTGTGATCTGCTAATTTATCTTATTAGAGATTCATTTTTGTAAGCCCCAGGGATCCTCAATTATAAAATAGGGTTGGTGGAGTACTAGCTGTAATAGTATAGAGTGTATACAGTACTGCCTAATATGCAGTCAGTTTTCTGTAAATTCTTTTATCCATTCAGGACCAGACATTCAACCCTGGCATAAGAAGGTGGAAAACAAAACAAAACAAAATGAAACTGCTGCTCTAGTCCTCAAAGATCTCAAAGGCTGATAGAAGAATTGAAATCTATGTTAGCAAATGGTGACTACTAATAATATTAAGAATATCAATCATAACAACAACAGTACTAGACAGACCTTTTAGAAAGGTCTCCAAAGACAAAAGGAAAAGGTGGAACCCAGCAGGCCGGACATCAGAGGTGTGACTTCCAGGAGTAGGTGGATTGCAGGTAGACAGGAAGTCAGCTTCAGGGAATTCTAGCAACAGTAGCAGGGAGCGACACTAGTATCTGCTGCAAGTATAGGACTTTGGGACTGAAATCTGGTCTCTTATAGGACTAGTGGGAGCAAAGTGGGCTCTGGTTCCAGAACTGGAAGAGCCAAAGAGCAAACTGAGATAAGTTCTTGGGGAGAAGGGCAAAAGCGAGTTATTGCAAGAGCAGGAGGAGCCAGTCTTGGAGCTCATCCTCTGAAGGTTGAAACTGAAGAATATCAGAAGCATCCTTATAAAAAGGACATAATATGAAAATTATGGAATTACAATGATTTCATAGTTTAATAAGGTTTTTTAATTCATTTGAGAATAAAACTGAAGCCATGCCACAATGATGCAGATTTTTTAGGAGATAGTCATTGTTTGAGTTGAACAAACAAAATACATATTTTAAAAAAAATTGGGGTTCTGCTAAAACTTTAAGTGGGCTAATTTTTCATCTCTATACAATTACTATGATTCATAAGATTTGTTGTAATGTGAAAATATTTTATTTATTCAGATTGTATGTTATTGAAAAGAACATTTGAATGATTGGGTTTTATTTCACATGTACTACCCATGTCATTTGTGAGAAAGAGGTGACAAAACCGATAGAAAGGATTTATTTTTAAAATAAATCTTCAGTTTAACAAGGGTCAGTACAGAATTAACCCTAAACACTCTCCTTCTAAAGCATAGTGTCAATAAAAGATTCTAAAATATCTAATGAATGAAGAAAGCAAAGTTAAACTGGGCTGATTGTAGTCAATGCCATGGGCACTTGATTAGGTTGTAATCCTTCAAAAATTGATAATCTATCATTAGTTAAATAAAATAATTCATACACAGTGCCTAGCACAGTGAATAGTTCAAAATAGAATTTCAATATTTATTGACTGTTTTGGTAGCAGTGATGATGATAAATAAATTTCAGTTAAGAACATTATTCTTCATTCTATGTAATTATATGTTACTGCTGGTATTTCATTAGGCTATGTAAGACAGTGTATTTACTTTATAAATAAAAGTTAACCTCAATAACTTTGCAGATGTTATAGAAAAGCAATCATTAAATTTTATTTAGTCTCAGAGTTTTGCATTGCCTGCAAATCCTAGGCTGCTGATGAATCTGCAAGATGTCTGGTGTTAATGCTTTCCATAAGCCAAATGGTTTTGTTCATCTCGTTGTAGAGTAAAAATTTAAAGTATAGCTTTTTCCTTTTTTTTTTTTTTGGTGTTGGGGTGGGTAGAATTCAAAACTAACCACAGTTGTCTGCTTTTTATTATCATAGGATTAATTATTATAACATTGCAATTGGATCTTTCTATAGGAAGTATTTATTGACTTCAAAGTAATGTATAATCTAACTGTCATACTGGGATACAGAGAAAGAGGTAGAGAGAGGCAGAGAGAGAGAGAGGAGGAGGAGGAAGGAGGAAGGAGAGGAGGAGGAGAGAAATTGTTCCTGATCTGTGTTACATGTTTAATCATCATACAATTAACTATTAATTACATTATTAAATTTGCAAATGCAAACTAATTTCAAAGCTCCAATCAATACCAACTTATATAAAGCATTATTTAATACAATATTGAAGTGGTTAAGGAATTCAAACAGCCTATTTAAGCATTTACCATATTGATATTTTATCAATAGTTAGTACTATTTACTTTTTCTTAGGTGGTTGTTTGATCTCTCATTTAAAGGCGTGATTATACTTTCCTTGAACTACCTTTAATTTCATGTCCAAATGCCAAAAAACATGAATCTGCTGAGCAAATAGAAGGAATCAATTACTTCTGTAAAAATATGGTTAAGTCTTGCTCGATATAATATAAAATCCTTCAGTGTTAGACAGAATTCATGAAATATAAGTAAAAACTAAATATTTTTTTTTCCTTATTGGGAAGTGTATACCTATTTCAGAGCCTCAAATAGGAGGTCTGAAACTACAGACCTTTTCAACCGTGTGCTCATATGTTTGATTTTACTTTTTCTCCAGAATTTTTTACCTTGAAATGTCCTCATTTTGTGGGCATACTTTATGGTAGTGCAAAACACCTCTCTTTAATACTTCTTTTTTATTGTTTGAAACAATTAGCCAAGGTTTGCAATTGCTTTCATTGCCTGATTTTCTTTTCTGTCTCTGTGTCTGACTATGTCTATTTCTTAAGTGGTTCATAAAGTAATGAATCCTAAATTAAATAAAAACATTAAAAATATCTACCAGTAATTTATTTCTGTTAGCTTCCTTTTTAATTTCTAGGGTTAAATTACCGTAGTTCTTATATGCCTAAATGTGATACTCAAAAAGAACTAATGGTGTGTCTTATTACTAATTTTTTTTAATAGATCGAACTTCATCAACTTAAAATCTACTGCGATTCAAACATCATTGCTCAGGAAACATGTTGTGAAATATCAGAGACTGAGGTAAGTTAATTTTCTGGGCATGTGAAGAACGAAGGATACCAGTTATCTTTTAGTTGCATAGTCTATAAGTGAGTGTCTTCTGTTGAAGCCAGGTGAGTAATTTGTTCCAAGTACAAAAGCCTTCTTAGTGCTCTTCCATGGTTTCTTTTCACAATTTTAATCCCAGCATTTCGGGGATGGTTTATCCTTACTTTAGACTAAACATAACTAAAAGAGAGTTTATGCCTTTTTTCCTAAACTACATTCTGAGAGTAGCTTCATCATTTTCTAGTTACAGAAGTTTTAAATCTATGATCATGCCTTATTCTCACTTGTTTTCCTTTTCTAGCCTGTCACCCATCCTGGATCCTTTGTGGCAGATTTTTCATCCTCATCTTCCTTTTCCCTGTTACAGTCCACCTTTACCTCATGCTTGGACTTTGGCGTTATCATGTCAACTTCCCTGCCTTCCCCATTTCCAGTCCTTTTTCTTTGCAGCATAAACAGTATAAGTCTCTGAATGACTCCTTTGTGTATTCATTCACTTTCTTCCAGCACATATTTATCATTCAAAAACACTGATCTTCTAGGCACTGTGCTAAGGTACAAGGATAACAAAGATGAATAAGGTGCTTTTCCTGCACCCTATTTACTTCTTTCGCAAGGCCTTAGGTGACTTCATGTTGGCAACAAAATATAAATCTAGTTCCTTAGCCTCTCATTCTAAATATTCCCATCCTAACTGTACAACTATTACATTCTTATACCAGTCTTCCATTCCAAGAAAAATGTTGAATTCAATACTTTCTATCTCTCTCATTGTAATGGTCATGTGTGCAATCTTATATTATTAGGTATAATTATGTTTGTTTCTAATTTAAGTACAATTTAGACTCAGTGAGTGGAGTTTTACCTTTCTGCTCTTCTTTATTCCTAGTACTTTGTTTGGAGAAGGTAGCCAATTGTTTCTTGGCTTGTTGACTTGCCAACTAGTAAAAGAGATAGATAGGACAAAAAAATGTTTGAAAGGGACTAATTCTTAAAAACACACAGAAAGAAAATACAAAAAGTAAAAATGAAAGGTGAAAAATGCTTTTTTCTTCAGGTCTTAAGTTTCTGAGATGTTCTACATTTATCATAGAAAGTTACATAAAAATTTTCTCAATAATTTGTTATTCAAAAATATTTTTAACTTCTGTAGCTCACTTTGGGTAGTAGAATAAGAATGCAACCAAGTGACTCAAATCATAACTCTTTCGAACATTGCATGTTTTCTTATGTAACTTGGCTTTACAAAGCATATCTCCAACCTAGTTTATGGCCCTCATTCCAAGTAAAATGAAAGCCAGCCAAATATCTTGCTATAAATATCTAAAAAGATTATTTAGAATGCCAGTCTACAGACTTGAAATACCTAGGCTTCCTGGAGCTACACATTTAAATTTTAAGATGTTAATTCTCCAAAAGCTGTTTTTAATTATGCTTTTTTATGTCAATGCTTTTAAAATAATAATTTCTTCTGATTGAAAAGTAGCATAATGATGTTTTAATATGTCTAAATATTATGTCCTTGACCAGTAATCACTGCCCTTTGTCATTACATAACAGACATTTTCCACCTGAATTATGAGAAAGCTGTTTAAGACATATTGGTGATGGTTTGGATAGTGGTTTCATAATTAAAACAAGTGACATGACCTCACACATTATGAACAAAAAATTTTTAAATCATATTTTTAAAAACTTATTTGGAAGTTAGTTTTAAAGAGTAGAAAATAAAGTAGGAATTCATCCCCAACTGTGGAAAACAAATAACAAAAGACTGTATATTTTACTGCTGATAATTACTCAGAGGAAACATTACTATGCATTTAATAATTAACATAAAATAGAAACATACTACATTTTACAAAAAGGAATGTATAGTTTAGAAGATAAATAATTGAAACAGAAACATCTTCTGTACTTCTGATCCCAACTGTGTATACATATATGTTTCACAGATGTTATATATTATATTTTGCAAAATGTTTTGAACTCAGAAAATTCTAATATACTTGTTTCAATATCTAATTTTGTCCTGGAATTTCGCATCACACATGTTTTTAGTGTTAATATTTTATAAAGCATTCAAAGGTGAAATTTACTCAAAATCATGTCTAAACATGCTTCTATTAAATTAGATTTTCAGTTTTTGAAGCAGTCAAGTTTCATGACTACAGACATAGAGAATGAAGGACATGAAGAGGAGGAAATCAGCAACATTTGTTAAAAATAAATGAGAAATGTGATTAAAATTTTAAGGGCTAATTAATTGAATATGTGTCAAATCAAAACCATTTTGTGAGAGGAGGAGTCCTTAGTTTTAAGTTTTATGCTGCCTTTAAGCAGTTTTTGACAAGTATGAACAGTTTTATAGTAAAGACTAAAATATACTTTTAAAGTTGCTTAAATCTTCAATTTAATATAGTGACTCAGTTTATCAGAGCAAAATTGTGAATTCTAAGTGGGCCTTGGTTATCTTACTGGGAACCCATGGGGCAAATCACACGAGATGAATACATTGTTTTGGTGATAATATTGTTTCATTCAAATGTAGTTTGACTTTTAGACTTGGAAACTTATTAGGATAACAAAATAACTAATCATTAAATCTGGTGAGAGTAGATATGAAAGAACTAGTGGTGCAGACAGAAAAATTGTTGCAGTATTTCTGGGTGCTAGTTTTGTTACAGTTTTTATTGTTTTCAATTACAAGCATTAAAGTACCACCCATTTTTCAAAATAAAATTTTGCTGCACAAATTATGCATGTTTATTATAGAAAACTTTAAAAATGCAGCCAATTACAAAAAGGAAATAAATATCAACCGTGATCTCAACCACAGTGGATAACCACTGACAATATTTTGGTTTTGTCCTGAAAATACTTTGCATGCATATATGATTTGCAGGATACAAAGTAACATATGAACTCCTTCCTCTAATGCTAACCATTCATGAAATTGCAAATTCAGAGTTATAAGCCATGGTGAGGAGCCTGGTACATGATGTTGAGGATACATTTATTATCCTCTTTAGACTCTCCATCTTGATTAATTTTTTGAGAGAAAAAAAATTTATTGCTTTGTAATCAAATTTCACTGGATTTTGTCCAGCATGTTCTGAACCCACTGGATAAGTATAAACTCCACCAATTGTCAGTTGCAGTACAGATCATTTTATCTTTCAAGGACAGTGGTTTAGAGTAAGGCATACTTCGATTTAATAAATATTAGAACGTAAAAATAATTTATTTTCTACTTTACATGGCTTTACAATAATCTTGTTGAGGCAACCCTCAGTGTTGCCCCCGTACCGGACCGGGGACCGGCAACGGGATTGCAACCCTCAGCGTTGCCCCCGCGCCTCGCTCAGCCAGTGAGCGGGAACCGGTCTGCATGTGGGATCCGAACCCTTGGGCGGGAGCGCCGCCGCGCTTCCCAAGCGGCGCACTTATCCAGTGCGCCACCGGGCCGGCCCAGATCATTTTATCTTTCAAGGACAGTGGTTTAGAGTAAGGCATACTTCGATTTAATAAATATTAGAACGTAAAAATAATTTATTTTCTACTTTACATGGCTTTACAATAATCTTGTTGAGGAAAACTATGTTTTACAAGTTCAAATTACATGCTTTAACTTTAATTTTGTTCCCAAAAGACAAACACACATGTAGTTTGTGTAAATTATTTCATGGTAACAATGTAATTATTGTAAATGTATGATATTATTGTATTTGTCATGAAGTCACTTAATATAGCTTTAGAATTCCTCACCAAGATCATCATTTTTAATTTCTTGTGTGTTGTCAGTGTAATAAAACACACAGGGGCTCAGTGACAAAGTGAAGGTGTGATAATCTTTCACACACTGCTGTCAACTTTTGCTTAATAAGAAGGCGGTTCTTGCATGCAATCCCAGTCGTCCCTAGTTTGGTGGGAGCCATTGTTTGGAATGCCAGAATGTTTGGAATTGACCCCTTTCCCTAAAGCCTCTTTTTGGATTTTAGTGCCCAGAGCAGGATGGCTTTGGAAGTACTGCATCATCATCAGTAGCAGCTCATGCCAGCAAAATGTCTGCGTATCTGCCAGCAAAGCAGGAACTTAAAGACCAGTGCCAGTGCATTCTGAACAAGGTATGCTAGTTTTAATCTGTGCCTACTGACAAGCCACCCCAGACAGTCAGCCAGGCTCCTTGAATGCGGCCTCTAGTGCATAGAACGTGTCTTGCCCTTCAGTGCTAATTGAATCAAATGCCTAAGCCACTGAGTCACTGGGGTGGGTTAATGAGAGGGGATTGGAGATAGGATTTCCTGTATTTTTACCTGGATAGTACTAAGTCCACCTGAGCTTCCTTCCAGGGTTTAAATTAGAATGAACAGAAAGGTGAAGGGACGAACCATGTATACGACAGGCCAGTACTGAGTACTTAACATGTACCAGGAACAGGCTGCAGTTCTGGGAACTCATAGTTGAAGGAAACAAAGTGCCTGCTCTTCAACAAACATGCACAAAAATACTCTACATAGTATTTCTTTCTTGTATGAAGACTTTATTTGTCCAGTGTCCCCAAATTTCCAACAGACTATCTCTCTCCACCATAAGTTGTGGGAGGGGATTGGCAGAGGGACTGTTATTACTCAAAGAAATGGTCTCACCTACACAAATATGGCTCCTTGGTTAGGGAGGCTGGGCCTGTGGACCTACAGGAACTTCTTTTGTTGATGTTAATGGCAGTTGTAAGGCCTGTGCTAATGGCTGAATGGCCTCTTGGTGGCTTTCTCCTATGCCCATATCTGATGAAAGGAGAACTTGCCCCAGTTCCTAGACCAGAGCGTCCCCTACCACCGTGACCTAATATATGCCCTGAGTCTTGACCCATCCACTACCACCTCACTCCTGGCTGAACCCGATGCAGATGGCGTGAAAGTTTAGAGGGAACTTCCATTTCCTCCAGTGACCAACAGTATGTGGCTCCATGAGAAAGGCAAGTACAAGGTTCAGCGGGGGCTGCAGAGGGGCAGCATGTGCTCCAGCCTGTGGAAGGTCTGCTGGAGGAGGTGATGCTAACTGGTGTTTGGAGAGTGAGGAACAGTGAGCCTCGTGAACAAGGGAAGAAAGGCACTCCCAGGGAGGGACCAGCGACAGCTCAGAGGAGAGAGAGCTTTAGCTTTCTATCGCCAGCTCGGTATTTCTCACTCATTGGCTTTAGATCAATGTGACAAATGTTTGTTAACACAGAAATGCATTTTTGCCTAGGGAGAAGCAGGATTACCAGGAGCTTCTGGTTCACCTGGACAGAAGGGGAATAAAGGAGAGCCGGTAAGACACAACCTAACACTGCTGGGGGGAAAGCAGTTTTGTTCAAAAGTGTCTTCAAAAATTTGTCCATCTCATTTTTCTGTGTTCTATACAAATGCACATTTCTGTAAAAGGCTATCAAGACTATATAAAAATACTGCTCTGAAATAAGAAGGACTACATCAGCATTCAAGTCTACTTTTGGGTTCACATTGGAAAGCTGGCATGAAATGTCGAATGATCTGGAAATGCAAGTCTTTGTACCTATAAGCTCTAAGCAAAACTGTGAAGCAAGAAAGTTCATTTTCTACTTGTGTCCTTGCCTTCCTTGGTATTCTTTTCTCCTGATTGAACTCTTATTTCTCTTGTCTGTTGACATGTCTCCACTGAAGACTTTTCCTTAGTTCTCTACACTTTATTTAAGCAGCCAACCCTTGTTGAATACCTTCTGTGTGTGAAGCATGTTGCTGGGTGCTGTAAAGATTAGAATACATTTCCTGTTCCCAAGGATTTTACATCTAGAAGGAGACAGAGGGATATTACAGGCCATATGCATTAGGTACTATGTGAGAGTTGCAAGTGTTCTGAGAGAATGATCTGGGGAGATTGAGAAGAATTTAATGGAGGAGATGGCAAGTGAGCTGGACCTCTAAGTATGTAATTCTAGGCAGTATTCCATGCTTAGAAATTGATTCTGCCTTCTCCCTGCCCAAACAAAACCTAACTGCAGTGTTTCCCACGCTTTTGAGTCACATCTTTTGTCAGCTAATCCGACAAATTAATTTGTACTTAGGTTAGGAGTTTATCTTTTTCTTATATTTCCTAAGTGGAACAGATTTTAATTCCTTTCTTGCCTTAACTTGGAAGTCCATGATTCTAAATTATTTGCACAATTAGTCGGACTTCTTTTTCAAAAGGTAGAAGTTTGAAATATGAGAGATGACTGATTCCTCAAAGCTTCAGCAAAGCTGCAGTCGTTTGACTCCGAAAGGAATGCCTGCCCATTGTACCTTGCTTGGGAACTTCTGGCACCTCCACAAGTGTTGGAGAAGAAATTTTTGAGGTGGGATGGGTCATTTATTTTTGCTGTTTAAATCATGTTTCTTGGAGATACCTCTGCTTTCAATATTGCTATATGAAAATTCAAAATAAGTCAACAATATCTGGTTCTAAGAAGTGTTGGAGAAGAAATTTTTGAGGTGGGATGGGTCATTTATTTTTGCTGTTTAAATCATGTTGCTTGGAGATACCTCTGCTTTCAATATTGCTATATGAAAATTCAAAATAAGTCAACAATATCTGGTTCTAAGAACTACTTCAGTTAAACTAAACATAAGAATTATCGCAGCAAGAGCAAGTGCTTATTTAGTGATTGCCACGTGTCAGGCACTGAGAAGAGTGAATTAGCTATGTTTTTGTATTTGATCCTTGCTATAACTCTCCAGGTTAGGGATTAGTATTGCCATTTTAGAGATGGAAAAACTGAGGAGAGCGCCGCTGCACTTCCCAAGCGGCGCACTGTAGCAGTGCGCCACCGGGCCGGCCCTAGCTATGTTTTTGTATTTGATCCTTGCTATAACTCTCCAGGTTAGGGATTAGTATTGCCATTTTAGAGATGGAAAAACTGAGGATTAGAAGGGTTAGATTATTGCCCAAGGCCACATAGCTTGTGGCTAAACTGTTATCTGAACCCACACCTGTTGACTCCTCTTAACTGGTATCCATTTTAAAAACTGCTCTATATTATAAACACTTCAACATTATTTATCTGTGTTCTTTCATCAGGGTATTTCCACTTATAGTATCTTATTTTATCCTTAAAACCTCATAAAGAATGTCAACATAATATTTTTATCCCAATTTTACAGGTGAAAGAACCGTGCATAGGTAAAATAATGTGACCAAGGTAACACAATTAATAGGACTCAGAGAGTAAAAAGATCTCTGGATTAATTCCAACTCTTCTCCCGTCAGCAGTGTGAAATTGGCCAAGCCTTTCAGTCTCTCCAGGCTTCTTTTCTTTTATCTGTAAAGGAAGATACATCATCTATCTGCTCTACCTACATCATAAAGTGACACAAAAGTGCTTTGAAAGGCATATGTGGCTTCATTATTGGTGATTGTGATGGGATGCACATTCACATACACATTTCTAAATTTGTCTTTTCACTTCTTTGACTTACCAACTCCATCATATTTCAGAATACTCACATAGGGAGAAATTTTACATGTGTTGTTTTTAGAAGGGGTAAAATACTTTTAAAATACTCTGTCCCTTTAAAAAATATATTTCTCTGACAAAAGCATGGTCCTGTTTGAGTAATTATTAATTATTAAGAATAATATTTAATCACCTTAAAATTTGTTTTTTTAAAGGTTAGGTATGGAGTCACTCTTGTTAGAACCTATACCTTTTAAAGATATATTTTTTTCCTCTGAGTGGAATAAAAAAAAGATACATTTTTTCTTCCATTCTCTTTAATCATAGGTAGATGTCTCCTAGTCTAACATCTAAATTTATTTTCTTTGTTCATTTATTTCTCAGCAGCTGCTTATTTCGCTCCCTCTATTCTAAGAAAAAGTGTGTTAGATGCTGGAGCTACAGCAGAAACAAAAAAACGCAAGGCCCGTTCTCAATGAGTTTATAATCTTGTGACTATTTGGTCAAGGAGCTTTTCTTCCTTCTGTAGAAACAGAAACCAGTAGAAAAAAAGGAGGAAGAAACTAGTAAAAATGATAAATATTAACAAATTTATTGGATGTCAAATCTATAAAATATGTTATACAAAAATTATCTTAGAGTGCATTATGACTTCCCATCTATGATATGTTTTTAAAATATTAAGGTTTCTTTTAAATTCCAGGATACACAAAATTCATAATGGCAAGAGATTTTAGTGGCAAGGTGAAAACAGTTGGGATAAAATAAATCAATAATCTACAAAACCAGTAATTAATGAGTATACTTTCTTTATTTTTTCAATACGTGCATTCGCATTTGATTACGCCAGCATAAACCTTGCCTTGTAAAAATGACTTCAGATGACCATGACCGTGAATGCATTCAGCTTTCCTGGTACTTGTAATAAACGTGGATGTATTGTTTCATTTTAAGGAGTCGATGAAGAGTTTATCCCTGTTCCTGTTGCACTATGTGATCCTGCAACTTTAATGTGCAATAAATAAAAAGGGCTTTTCCTAGTGTTTGATTCTGGCATATAATTTTCATTATTAGAGCAGGTGCACAACACAATGCCTGCATAACTTGAAGACTGAAAGTCATTTTGCTCTAAGGCATAGTGAATAGTTAATTTTGTGAAGTGATCAGAAGTGCAGTGTTCCTAAGGGAAACGTGTTGTTCTAAAGGTTTTCCTTTTGATCTGTAAGCCCAAGAAAGAATATTTAGGAGAAGAAGGACAGTATATTGAAGTACCACTTTGGAGCCTGAACCACTTAGATTTGAATAGTATTCGCCTCTTAGTTACTTTGAAAATAATATTTAATAATACCTAGTCAATAGTTGGTTGTGAAGAAGAAATACAATATAATGTATATAAAACAGTTAATAACAAAAACTGAGACATTATAGATCTTAGCAAATATACGTTTCATCTACTTTTTTGTTCACGTATGTAATTGTTCACATATTGAAGGAGAGGTGAAGATAATCCCTTTAGGTTGAGTTCAATTTTATATGTGGCTTTACCAAAAGCAAAGAAATACTCATTTATCCCATATTCACTTAGAATTTTCAATTGATCAGATGTTTTAGTATATAAAAATCTTGAGTTATGATATGCTACTTGTGGTAAATACTAATGATTGACAGTTAATTTCTTCAAAATATCATTTAAGTATTTGAATATTTCATTCAACTCTCTGTCCTTTGTTCCCAATATTATCTGACCTTTCCTGGAAACAGTGTACTAGTTTTTGAAGAGATTTCTTGCATTATTATACTTAAGTAATGTTGATTTATAATTTACTTTTTCTCATTAACTATAAGATATATAATACTAATCTTTTGGTGCATTTTACTTTGGGGCAAATGAGATAAAATGTGATAAGTTTTGAGTATGCAACTTACAATCTCTTCTCAAATTATGTATCACTCACTACAATATTTCTAAAGGTGTTAAGTTTTGAGAATCCTGACTTAATATGGCAATTTTAAAAGAACAAATTTTGCTTTTATTTATGCACATAAACTATGGATTAGACAACTATTCTGAATAATCATGTAAGTAAATCCTGTTCCACCTGAGCCAGACCCACTAATGACTTCCTATCTCCCTTAAGATAAGTCCCAAAGCTCTAACCATGGGCTACAAGGCTTCACATAATGTGCAGAGCTCTTCCCTACTGCTACCCTCCCTCCTCTCTAGATTGTCTCCTACCTGCTCCCCTTGTTCACCTGCTCCAAGTTCTTCACACCATGTTATATATACTTGGAATGTTCTTCTAAATATCTACTTGCCTCCGTTAGCATTTAGGCCCTTGCTCATTTTCAAATAAGGAGGCCTATTCTGACATCTCTATATAAAACGTATTCCTCTATCCCACCTCTATCTTCTTACTTTTCTTAGTACTTTCATTGCCACCGGACACATTATTATTATGCATCTATTCATTTCCCTGTTAGAATGTGACTTATGTGAGCTCCATACATAGAAAAACACATAGTAGGAGCTAAAAATATGTTGAATGAATGGATGAACACTGTACCTCAAGGAAAATCATCAACTCAGCTGTTTCTAGAACCTATACATTGTACTCCTGAATTGCCTAGGGGACTCTGCCAAGCAGAGGGAGGAGGCATTTGCAAGAAAAGAACTGGATAAGATATTTGCCTCTTTTCTCATCTACACTATGATGCTTCATTAATATGATCTACTATTTTTGTTTGTTTTTTCATAAAGCTGATGACCCCCTCTCAGAGTAATACAGTTTTAAATACCACCATTTGTATTAAACACATAGTTGTGATCAGTATTCTCTATCCAGGCACCTAATCGAACCAT